TTTCTGTCTCGTCCTGTGACACATACAGGTGGATGCTGGGCACGTGTATGGAGACAACCTGGAACGGCAGCTCGAGCTCAGGCTTCACCAAGATGGAAAACTCAAGTATCAGGTAAAAGAGTCGAAACTGAATAGAAAAAAACCGTGTGCACAAAGACTAACCTTTACATGTCGATCAAGATTGGAACAAATAATTTCCATTCAAGAGCAAAGTGAAACAATATTGTGTTATGTGAGATATTTCCATGAACCAAACAAGCATGTTAGCCAAATCTGTTGCTGTCATTAGCTCTAAGAAGCATCTGCCAGAAGTTGTATACAGTTATAAATGCAGGACTATGTAGGACTGACACTATACAGTCAGATAAAGTGGAGAAGGTTGAGAAAGCCAGATTTGCAATGCGTTGTAATGTATAATTATTGTTTTCCCATCAGTTAATTGACGGCGAGATGTACCCTCCCTCTGTAGCTGATGCACCCATTAAGATGAGCTACCCTCCAGGGATCCCTCCTGAGGGTCAGATGGCTATTGGTCAGGAAGTGTATGGGCTCCTCCCTGGTTTGGGAATGTATGCCACGCTGTGGCTGAGGGAGCATAACCGAGTATGTGACATCCTGAAGGCGAAACATCCCACCTGGAATGATGAACAGCTTTTCCAGACCACACGCCTCATCATCATTGGTGAGCTGGACACAGTTTTGAAAGAATAGTTTGACATTTTAGGAAATATGCTAATTTCCTACAGCCAGAAGCCAATTAGCTTAGCACAAAGACTGGAAACTGAGGGGAACAGCTTGTCCGTCTCTATCCAAAGATAACAAAATACCAGGACCTCTAAAGCTCACAAATTAACGTTATCTTGTTTGTTTAGGTGTAAAAATGGAGTTTGTGGTTTACACAGGGTAATGTTCTGGACTATGTCTAAGCAATGTAAAACCATAAATAGTTTTTTTTGGCCATTGTGCGGATTAAACAACAGGATATCATGTGTTAATTAGTGAGCTTTCAACATGCTGGTAGGTTTTTTTTTGTTACGGTGCCAGGGAAGACTGTCACACAAGGATGAAAAGGACTGTATTTTATACATGACAGGGTTTTATTTTTTTTATTTTTTTTAAATCCAGACTCTGAAAGTCCTCCCTTGCTGCACTGTCACTTTTTCCCTGACTGGGGAGAAGACAAACAAAGGAATTTCTTTACACTTGCGTACCACAAAGTGTACTTTGTTATCTTTGGACAGAGCCGGGCCAGCTTATTCCCCGTTTTCCATCTTTATGATGAGCTAAGTTAACCGTCTGCTGGCTGTAGCGTCAGACAGAAGAGTATCAGACACTCAGCAAGAAAGAAATAAAAGCATATTTTCCGTAATGTCAAACTATTCCTATGATGTTTCAAAATCTTTTGTTCTTCTAGAGCTGGTGTTTAATAATACTGTATGTGAGCACACCTCTCCATAAACTCACTAATGATGATTTTATTTGAGCCAGCTTGAGTTTGAACCTGTTCTGTCGTGAGTCAGAATAAGCTAGGTTCTTTCATTTTAATCTATCTGCCCTCCCTGTTTGTGTCTCCGCATGTTTCTCTCAGGTGAAACAATAAGGATAGTGATAGAGGAGTACGTGCAGCACCTCAGTGGATACCTGCTGCAGTTGAAGTTTGATCCCATCCTGCTCTTTAACTCCAACTTCCAGTATGGGAACCGTATCGCCCTAGAGTTCAGCCAGCTCTATCACTGGCACCCCTTGATGCCTGACAGTTTCTTTATCAATGGAGATGAACTGTCCTACCCGCAGTTCCTCTTCAACACTTCTGTTCTCACACACTACGGCATTGAGAAGCTAGTGGATGCCTTTTCTCGGCAAGCTGCTGGCCAGGTAACAAACCCCAGCCGATATAAAGAGGGTTTTTGGCAGTCATACTCTTTTCTTCCTGTTTTTCTAGATCTGTATCATGTAGGTGCTTGGCTTGGTTAAACGTTGATAACTGAGGGTGACTTGGGCAATGCTTTTGCACTGTTGCGTGATTAACTGAGATTGGTGGGGATTGCAATATTTGTAGTCATAGCTACGAAAAAGGTTTATAAGCTAAACAGAAACAAATATTAATATTGTTTTTGGGTTCCCTTGCTTGCCACATCCAGAAATCTATGTACTGGTGTGAATGTTTGTTAATTACAGTCTTAACATAGATTATAACATTACTAGCCTACATTACAGGTAAACATATATAACACAGACAATCAAAGCACGTCCACGTGAGCTGCTTAGCTCTGCAAGGGATTGAAACACAGGGAATATATTTAAAATGTCTCCATTAGATTATTTCATTTTCAATATTTGTCCTACAGATTGGCGGTGGCCATAACATCAATGCTATGGTGACCAAAGTGGCCGTGGGAGCCATAAAGGAGTCCCGCCAACTCCGCATGCAGCCCTTTAACGAGTACAGGAAGCGTTTTAATCTGAAGCCATATACATCGTTCAGACAATTCACTGGTAAGAAAAACAGACCACACAGCACGAAGTGTAACCAAGCATGTGATTTACAACTTTTACAAGTCCATGAGAGCCGCTGGACATACATTCTTGGAATAAATGGCATCTGCTGCCTTTTAAAGGCATTTTTTTTTTAAGACTGTTCCCTATTTCTATCGTTGCTGTTACAATGTCTTCCTTTGCTGTCCTCTTGAGGGGCAAAGGAAGACATTTCTGTATCAAGTTGTTGATGAATTGCATGACATGACATTAATTTCATTAAATGCACAACTTGGACAATAGACCTTTTTAACAGCAGCCATTTTGACATGAAATAGTAGGGTAAACAACACAGGTGTTACCAATAATACTAATTAAGGTTTCATTCCATTCTGGTTAGACAGCGTCAGGGTGCTGCTATTGTGCATGTTGGAAAGGCTCTACTACACTAAATAAAACAGAGCCTCAGTTAATTGGTTATTGGTAACACCTGTGTTTACCCTACTATTTCATGTCAAAATGGCTGCTGTGAAAAAGGTTCCCTGTCACAATCACAAAATATGTGATTAATAAGAATCTACAGCTATGCTAGCGGCCCTGTGAGGCTATACTTAGGCACAGCAGATATTTTGCTTCAAACCACCAAGTATGAACCTCATGGTGGCACAAGAGGAAAAGTCAGAGGATTGCCAGAATTATTAGGATTCATCGTCATACAGTAAATGTTTAGAAGTAAAACTTTGACTTGCTGGTGGTGTTAATGGAAAAAGCTAGGGGTATTTTAAAGTTATATGCCTTCATCTTCTGATCACCATGAATATTTTTTGGGCAAATTTCATGGCAATCAATCCAGTCATTGTTGAAGTATTTTAAAACTAAAATACAAAAATGTCGAAAGTTTCACAAAGTTTCATGGCAATCAATCCAGTTTCAGTCTGGACCAAAGTGGTGGACTCAGACTGACTGCCATCTTTAGTGCTTATAAATGAATCCTTGATGCTCTGATATTTATATTAACTGTGCAATACTCCTGGTTACCGTTTGCAGATAGCGAGGAGATAGCCCGCGAACTTGAAGAGTTTTACGGTGACATTGAAGCTCTTGAGTTTTATCCTGGATTGATGTTGGAGAAAACAAGAGCCGGCACCATATTTGGAGAGAGCATGGTGGAGATGGGTGCCCCCTTCTCCCTTAAAGGCCTCCTGGGAAACCCTATATGTTCTCCTGAATACTGGAAGCCCAGTACCTTCGGTGGCAAAGTCGGCTTTGACATAGTGAACTCCGCCACGCTAAAGAAGCTGGTCTGTCTAAACACCAAGTCGTGTCCTTATGTGGCATTTAGAGTACCAGCTGAGGAGCAATCACAAAGAGGGAGTGATGGCAGTGAAGTAAGAACTGATGAGCTATGACCCTTCGCAGACACAAGAAGATTATCGTTTTACATCCCTAAATTAAGGTAAAGGAGGCTGCTGCTAAAACAAAAACAAGCATGTGTTGATGTTTGTGTGGAGAACATACAGTGATGCTTGTTTGAACAGCACTGGAGAATCATACGGGACTCAGAGCTCAGTATGAAAACTTGTCTCTTCCTTAAGACTGTCTGTCTTGAGCAAACAGTGAGGACATAAACATATGGTTTTTGTTTAACGTTTTGTGCCTGAAGACTGAAATACTATCCAAAAAAAAAAAAATGTTCACACTGTGCAGTAATAAAGGTCTGTAGATTTATTTTAAAAGAAGTGATTGCAATGCAATATAACCATTCATTGAAATAAAACTATAGACACAAAGTGGATTATTGTCTGTTTATTTAAATTGGCAGCGGTTCAAATCTTTTTTTCTTTTTACTACCTTCTTCTTTTGTTCCTCTCATGAGTCTCCATTCACACTTCCCACCCACTGATCCTTGTGAGTACACTGTTTCTTTTGTTTTGAGGCTGAATACTGAAGGCAACAGACTCAGGGTTTACAAAACATGGTTACCTCATAGCTCAGAACATGGATGCATATTAGATTATTAATATCTGACACAAACAAGAAATAATCCAGACTCCTTTTGACAAGATCTGGTGCTGTCTGACTTTTCAGATTACTTGAACTCTGTGATTTGTATAAGCAAAAAGAAGAGTGAGCCCATATTCTCTTATTGGTATCATGGTATCTTTTGTAAAAACAAAAAGGGAGTAATGCTTAATTTAAAATGCAGTTTTTTGTGAGCCTGCCAGCAGTGGTTGTGTTATATTAGTAGTAGTGATAGAATAAGTAGTCTGTTTCATGTTTTATAGTCATATTGCCCTCTAGTTGTGAAGGTGGTTACTGCATGACAACGCTTCCAGCATGTTCCCACATTGTCCACGTCAGTGGGATGCACCATGGTATCGTGTTACCTTTATGTGCTCTCCGTAAAGTCCAAACTTATAGTTACATCACTTCAGAATATGACCCCCATCACATATTATTCTTTGAAATACCTATTTGGATTGCAATAGCACCAGAATGAACTCATTACTCAGCAGTTTTGAGTGGCTGTGGTCTGTTTGAGTTATTTGGTAGTAACTGCAAAATGAGGTGCAGACGCGCGCATTTAAGAGCAATATTTGTAAATTTGTAACAAACAAACATTTGAGCGACACTGATTATTGGCTCCCAGAATGTCCGCACACAAAAATGATAGAAAACCTGAACTAAATGTCGAAACTCGTTGCGCTTATATTACATAATTACGACATTTCCCTGATCCCTGAAGGCACCACACTCCGGCAGAGAGGCTTGCGGCGGCTGAAGAAGCAGATTAGCTGGAGCTGGTTGGTTATCTTACTACCGTTAGCTGACCATATAATCAAGGTAAGATTGAACAAAATGCACAACTGTGTGTTCTTCTGTAGGCTTTTATAGCAGTGTATACATTTGGAGTCGAGTTAATGTGACATTTCTCATGGCTAGCTGATGTTTACGGGTTGTCACAGGAAGTGAGACGAGCTAAAGTAGTGCCTGCTAGTTCGGCCTGTGTCCTACTTAGTAAACAAGCTCATTGGTTTGTCTCTATCCCCTTTAGAAAGTCAGCGTTTACTTGAGTATATAACCACATCCATTAGACGCTTGCTAACTGTATAATTCATGAAGTTAGATGTCATATCGGCACGGATTCTCCCACACAACCTAACAACAGCGAGGTGTTGGCTGCAGGCCTTCGTCCCTGCTGTTTACATGTGTTGGGAGATTTTATATGCAAAAGGCAGTGCAGAGATACTGTTTTGTATTGTCACATAAAGGCAACCAAATCAAACAAAAGAGCTGTACACAGTGGTTGTTACTATAATCTTCCAGTTTGCTGCCTGGCCACAATTTAAAAGTGAGAGGGATTTATTAGAAGGGTGTTTGCCTCTCCATCTGTGCAAATGGGTTGGCTTACACACGGCTCAGTGCACCATTAAAGACCCCTCAGCCTAAGTTTTGTGCATTGACACACTTGCTATAAGCTGTGTATAGTGTAGATGTCCTATTTTTGAAGTAAGCCCCTTCTATCCGACCTATGACAGCTTTGGATGGCTGTCAGTCTGGATTATTATGTGCTCTGTTGGGACTATTATGAGACAAAGCTGTTGTTTTTCTACGAGGCTTTAAAAATGAAGCAAATGGCAGTATGTCAACAGCAACGCCCATGTAAATTATTAGTCAAATTACCCAACAGCCTGTGAATGCAAGGAACTCCTCTCAGTCACGTTGATAAACACACACGAGGAGGATACCATCCCATGTGTGGCGTTAGAAAGTTGCACCTGTGACCTTCTCTAAAGCCCTTTAACACCTGCAACCCTCAGGTGGACCGCTGTCATGACGACTCTGGATGACAAGATCCTGGGAGAGAAGCTGCAGTACTACTACAGCAGCAGTGAGGACGAAGGCAGCGACAACGAGGACGACGATGGGGAGAACAAGACCATCCGGGACGCAAACGCCCAGGAGCCGGAGATAGACTACAGCGCAGATGGGAGCGCTGTCAACACGGGTAACTATGGCACACACATGCACACTGAAAGAGTCCAGATGAGACCACATCTCTTTTGTGTATTTTTTTATAAGACATCATTGTAGTAAAGATATAAAACATTATGTAAGAACTTTGGTTAATACAAAATATTTGATGAATGCATTGCGGTGTGTGGTTATTAAGTAGGGTTAGAAAATGACTATACTATATGAGCTAAGTACATTTATTTAGAGCATATTACATGTTTGCAGTGACACTGGCTATTCTTTCTTAGGGCCAAAGGGTGTCATCAATGACTGGAGGAAGTACAAGCAGCTGGAGGTGGAGCAGAAACAAGAGCAGAAGAAAGAGATGGAAAGACTGATCAAGAAGCTGTCGATGACCTGCCGCTCTGACCTCGACCTGGAAAAAGACAAAGAGAAACAGAAAGAGCTGCAGGAAAAAATAAAAGGCAAAGTAAGTAGGACGGGGACAAAATACAGACGGTGCCTAACATGGGGAAGAATGCTTGTAAAAAGCTCCTTTTGGCTTAAACGTCTTGTTTCTCACACCATCCTGGAAGCGCATGGTTGTCCTCCTCTGTAAACTGTGCCAAACTCGCTAATGGAACACTTGCTGTAGGAAAAGGCTAAATATAGGCACGGTATTAATTAAAAACAACCTGATTAACAGTGGAATCCCTCCGCTTTTATCCTGTACTTTCTGACACTGTCTAATTAGAGATCAGTAAATTTTTTTTTAAAGACACACTTCACTTTGCATTAATGCACCTGCCAACTATTTGATAAATACTTTTGTCCTGAGTAACATGTTTATCCTTGTCATGGAGTTATAATAAGCAATCTAACAGCCTATAATAAAACAATTTGTAGACAATTGCTGGTCCCAGCCAAGAAACTATGTCTTGGCTCCATTCTGGAGTTTGTCAAGTGGTCCTGACCAGGAAGTTTTCACAATCTAACGCCGGTCAAATGGTGAAATGATGTTTTTACACCTAGGCTTTTGTACTGATTAAACAAATGAGAAATAATGTGTTAAATAGTGAGCTTCAGATGTCTTGGTAGGTGGATTGTGTTACCTTTAGACAGAGCCAGGCTACCCGTTCCTCCCATTTCCAGTCTAACCTACGCTAAGCATCTGCTTGTTGTAGATTCATATTTACCGTACTCAGCAATACAGCATATTTCCCAAAATGTCTAACTTTTCCTTTAACCACCTGTCTTTGCCTATCCTCTTTGTCTACCCCACAGATGACCATGCAAGAGTACAACATGCTCCAGGAAGAAGAGGATGATGAAGATTTCCTCCAGCACTACCGTATGCAGCGCATTGAAGAGATGCGGCGCCAGCTCTGCCGCGGCAAGCGTTTCGCACAGGTTTACGAGCTCAACAGCGGAGAGGACTTCCTGGAGGCTTTAGACAACGAGGACAAAAGCACGCTGGTCATGATCCACATCTACGAACCGGACGTCCCGGGCTGTGACGCCATGAGCGGCAGCCTGCTCTGTCTGGCTCAGGAATACCCGCTGGTCAAGTTCTGCAGCGTGCGCAGCTCGGCCATCAGCACCAGCGCACTGTTCAGAGACAGCGCTCTGCCCGCTCTGCTCGTTTACAAAGGAGGGGACCTGATCGGGAACTTCGTGCGGCTCACAGACCAGCTCGGGGAAGACTTCTTTGCCGTAGACCTGGAGGCCCTGCTGCAGGAGTACGGCCTGCTGCCCGACAAGCCCCCCATCGTCCAGAAGACGGTTCGCAATGGAGCCATCATACAGAACACTGTGAGCGACGAGGACTCTGACCTTGATATAGACTAGAGCCATAATAGCTAACGTGCATTATATGCTTGGAAAATATTCGTACGCAGTCTGCATGGACTATAGATCATTTTTATGTATGTGGACCCCCCCGTAGTGATGACAGACTGAACCAGGATTGCCATGTTACTACTCAACACAGCAACATACAACCAGCATTGAAGGCAAAAGTAAATGCACACAGAACATCATTGAGTTTCATGATGACTTCATTCCATGAGTTATATTTAAGTAAATTCTAGCCGTTATCAATATCGAGGACCTGTTGTTGAGAATGATGTAGCTGTTAGGTTAAATGTTTTGTTTGAGCTATGACTGTCAACTATTTATTCGTTTATTTCCCTTTTTTTTGTTTCATGTGCATCTTCATTGTATTGAATGTGTTTCACTCTGTAGAATACAAATCCTTCACTGACTTGTAGTTAATTTTATAACTTTTATATGTGCTGTATAGTACATAGTGGGAACAATAAACAAATGTTTGGAATCTGCCTGTTGTTTTATTTATTTATCAGAGTTGTCCAAGGTAGGGATGATAAACAAGAAGAAGCTCAGGAATGTTAAAGCTGCACTACTCGATATTTTAAGTGGATCAATTCGCTCATATTAACGAACCCACAGATAATTATCACCCAGCTCTGCATTTCCCTTCATCTCCACAGTGTTATAGCGTCTTAGAGCTCATTGTTTCCAACCCACAAACGTTGCTCTCATCAACCTCGTTTCCACCTGAGTTTTCAGCAAAAAAGCTCATGATAAACTCATCGTACGCTACCTGCTGAGCACCAAACAGCAGACAGACCACATAGTGGATCCCTCAGGAGTTATAGACCAAAGTAAGAGGGGATCAATTACTGCTATCTGTTGGGTGTTTGATGCAGATCTAAAAACTTTATAAACTGATAATTATCAATGTTGTGTTTATGGCTTCAAAAAACGTCGAACAAATGCAGCTATAATATCCATTTTTCATTCAGTAGATCAGTGGTTGAACACAATGGGCTGCGGAGTTCCTCCCATTCGTAGCCATTTATTGTATCCACAGATCAGCTGAATACTAGTATTTACAGACACTGGACCTTTTTCACACAACAAAGCCATCGTTAATGCGATTAGTTCCTTGCTTTTCCTGCTATGACAAGTCAGTGTCTTGTGAAAATGATTATTACATGATTATTTCTTAAGGAATCCAAACTACTCCATTTTCCTCATTGTTTATAGCTGAACAGATGAAATACGTAGTCTTAATTACTTAAAAAATAGTAAAAGTAGAAGTTTTAGAGCATCTCATGTAATTCCTATTACCAATATAATAACCAAAATGTGGTGGACACAACTCCTACACAAGTAATTGATTTATAAAAAACATTGCCCACATAACCACAATGGTGGTAATTAGGCGAGTCACCAGGTTTAACCTGCTGTGATGTATATATATATATATATGTATATATATATATATATTTACAGCTTCCTCTATGATGATACACCAGCATCAACAGGCTCCTTTCCAGTTCAGTAAATTCCCAGAGGTGATTCGTCTAACACAGATTGTGGAAAGGTCACTCACCCAATCCTTTTCACTCAATAATCACTCTGAACAGGGCGAGCCAGGGCTGGAGCTAATCTCTGGAAACATATCAAAACTCACTATTCAGTTATTAGTTTGTATAGTTTGCACTTATCCCCATTGGCCACAAGATATTAACTGAAGTTGCGTGCAGCTCTTCAGTGGACACCAGGCTAATGTAGCCTACAAATAGCTCATCAGCAGAAGCAGGGTGAGACAGGATAGAGTCAGCAGCAGGAGGAGGGTTGTTTCTTCATGGAGGGGAGCAGCTGAGCCGTGCAGGTCATGTCCACAAAAGGCATGTTCCAGCAGGAGATGAGTCTCTGCACTGATGCCTGCCGCAGAGGGAGAAATACAGTCACACCATCTCATGCAGTGTATCTAGCACCTTTAACCCAACAAATATTGTGCTGCTGGAAGGCTCATTTGTGGCAGAGCTGATTAACGAAACCTTTCATTATGCCTCTGGTGCTTACATGACCCCTTAAGCCTAACTGCAGCCTATAAGGCCATGAAATCAATGGCAACTAATGGTATGGGCTCTGCCACAACTTGCATGCTCAAGGCAATAAATCTGCTGAAAGCTTTTCGAACATCTGCTACCTGAGCTCTCTGAATTCACTCATGATACGCACCATGTGTTGACCATTCGTCCCACAGGTGCTGGGCATCCTCATTGCGATGTTCGTGGTGCTCATGATGATCTGGGTCTGTATTAAACACACACAATGTTAAGATAGGGATATGGAAGTGTATTGCAATGTATGCCCTGAAGACTAATGTTATGAAATGTGTATCAGTTGTCTGGATGAGGTCAAACAACTATGAAGACGAAGCTACAGGAGAACATGAATGAATGAAAACAAGCAAGGGAAAGGATTAAGAGGAAACAGACACAAACAGGAAATGAGAGGGAGAGGACAAAAAGTGAAAGGGAAGAGCGGACAGCTGTTTTGACCTTGCAAGTAGGACATTTAAAAACACAATGCACCAGAGGGCATATATTATAGCCCCAGTGTCTTGAAGTATAAATATATGGAATCATAAAATAATGCTACATGATGATTTCAGTTAGATTTAGAGGTTTTATTTACGTATACACAAGTAATATGTGTAGAGTACTAATACTGATAGATAAGACCTAGAATGAATAAATGTGAAGACTATCCATTAAATAAAAACACATTATCTAAAAGATTTATTTCCCTGTTTATATTTGGAACAGCCAATACTGAAAAAATGTAACATTATATGAGTTCAAATGACAGTAAACCTGCATGATTTATTTAGTTATTTTGCTCATATTCTTAGTTTAATGTTTTTTAATTTAGTTAATATCTTCTAATCTTCTCTGAATATTACTTTAAATACTGTTGAATATTTGTGTTTCTAATGTACCCCTAAATAACTTTCCATAATAATCTTCCTATTAAATAACTACAACAGGCACTCAAAGCTGTTAGCTGTTTTGTTTTACCCATATCTGTATTGTATATTCAAATGTTAATCTCAGTACCATTTGAGTGATGCCACAGCATCCGCTTAAGTTCCCTGAGAGCTTGGGTGAGGTTCTCCAGCTGGTCGTGAAGGTGGATATTCTCCTCTATCAGTGCATGAATTGTGTCCTGCAGTTCAAAGCTCCAGCTGTGCAGGACCAGAAGAGTCCCGGCCACGAAGAAAAACACCGGCCTCAGTCCCCTCATAGCGACCACGGCGCTCAGCCTCTATCACATCTTCACAGACACTAATCCCCCTCTCATAGGTACGTCCCGATCCTGTGTGAAAGAGGTACGCTTGACTGCAGAAATGATTGATGCAGTATTCTTTATCAGCTTAAACTCAAGGGGAGGTGACAACAGTTTGTTTTTTCTTTCCAAAGCCATGGGTGGAAAGCTGCCAGTGGGCTGCTTTAAAATCTATCCAATGTTTCCACATCAGTGGTCACAGTGGCTAAAGCAACAGAGGCCCTGTTTGCTTCAGTAAAATCTACTTCAAATGAAAATGATCTGCTTAAAACATATGATGTTCAGGCAACCCTTAAGTGTTCAGTTCTTCTGGGATTTATGTAAAATACAGGTCAAACATATTGGTAAAAATGGAAGCTATGAGCCAACTGGACAGATCAATACCAACAGACATCCTCCTGGTTTTTAATTAGTTGCAGCTAATTTCTGTCACATGTTGTAGAGCATGCACATCATCGCGGGGACATCAGGACACTGTGGGGACGAGAACAGACTGAAACCAGGTGTTTTCAGTCCATCTGTGTATAAATATTTGAAAGACACGTAGTTGTTTGAGAGGAACAAAGAAAACCATTGCTGCAATAATATGAGTAACTGTGTAGATTTCAGTGACACTTTAACAGCCTCTAGAGGTCGGTCTGGTATTGAGATATTTTAGCAGAGTGCAACAAACTTCAATAAAAATAGGTCCGTAAAACCTTAGTGCCCAGTGACTGACCTATTTCTAACTACAACAGCCAAACTACTTACACCAGGTTGTGTTTATCATTAGTTGTGCTTCTTAAATCAGGCATTTGCTGTCTTTTAAAATTCCATTTTGTACTATATGCACACACAAGACCTGTACAATTCATTCTCATTCAATTCTTGAGGGAAAGAAGCCTACATTTTCTCAACCGGATCACAAATATGTACCAATCCTCCCTTTGTAAACCCTGACTTAAACCTAAATCAGTTTGTGGCTGCTTTTACGAGGAACACATTTACTGGTTCCCAGAAGTATTGGTAATTACATGACAAGTATGAAATAAATAGTTGGCAATCCAAATGCTTGCACAATCCTGTATTAGAAGCCAGACAGCAAACAATCTTTGGGCAAGTTAAGACTCAGGACAATGTAATGTTTTTTCCAAACAAAACTCTTTTATTTATTTATCATGTGAATCAGTTTATGCTGTCTTGGTAGCCCTGGTGCGCTTCTTTTTCACCACAACAGGCTTCTGGCTCTTCAGAATGGCACTGGCACGACGCAGGGCAGCCTGGAGAAACAAATTAACACTTAAATCATGCAAATACTAATAAAAAAGAGCTTTATAGAAAACAATGTGGTAACTACATATAAGATTTTGCCGTCTAAAATCACAGATTCTGCTCACCATGCGCAGGTCCTTCCTGTACTTGTTCTTGCTAATGATGTGCCTCAGGCTGTTGAGGGTGGCGCGGGAGTTCTTGTTGATGGTGATCTTCTCGTAGGAGTTGACAGGCTTGTGTTGGCCTGTGCATCAAGAGAACATACACACTCCAATGTAACTACATCAGCTGTAACGATCCAAAAAACAACAAATGACTGCAAAAAAGTCTGAGGTTACGCAACAGGCGCTGCTCATCTGCACCATGTTTGTCCTTTTAAATTCAGTGCATGTTCTCCAATTCCAGGAATCAGTGAGTACAAAGATAACTCCATCGGACATGTAAATTCCTGCCTGGGACTGCAACCTGAACACACCATTTGATTTATTCACATTCAAGAGCATGAGCAACTCTACTGTGAGTCAACTGGAAGTAAGCACACTTGACTCAAGAAAGCAACACAAAATGTTGCTGCTGTCTCTTAAAAACGCAACTGATGCGCGAAAGATCCTTCCGACAATTACAGGTGTTTTCATTAAGAGCAGCAGTCAGATTGTACAATGAAGATTTAGACTGTGTGTGTTCTGTCGCAGTATAAAAGTAACTTGTGAACACCAGGTAAAGCTAGTTTTTATTCCAAGCAATAACTTATTTAACTGTCACAGAAGCGCCTGAGGACCCAAACGGATATTTTACCTGCACGCTTCTTCAGCACGACGACAACTCCCTTGCCATCAGCTGCTGGCTGCACACCTACAGTCTTCTTGTGCACCAAACCATTGAAGCGGAAAGAGTTCCTGGACTTCAGGTTGTTGGGCTCCTGTCAAAAAAACAAAAAAAACAAGACAGATTTAAATGAGACAACCCACCGGACAGATTGTGAAGCACAAACAGACCGTTACGCATTCATTTCCCTGTCAACTTAAGTCGGATCATGCTGTTTGCTAGAGATGCAGGATCCAAAATTAACTTCTTGGCAGGTAAAACAGAGAATTATCCAGAAAAAAAAAATCTTAAGTAGCCATAAAACTTCATACTTTAGCCACGATCTTGGGGTTTCCTGCGTCATTCAGACGCCACGTCTCGCAAAAATGCCGACCTCCATTACTTTCTCTTCATGTCTTCGTGTTTTCTTTTTAATAATACATAATGTAGATGTTTCCCACAACAAATAAATACACGTTTTGTAGAAAGCGGCAAGTATTAGTGAGCTACTTTGATTATCTGATCTCTTAATAGGCAGTTAATCATTAGTCTTGGTCAAAAACCATTGACGTAAACCTGGACCTTCCTCATCAACGGCTTCATACAGTTTCCTCAAACTCTGGTAGAGTTCACAGGTGATGTGGAGACCCAGGTGCTTCAGAGGGCGGACAGAGGACAGATGGACAGATGGACAGGTGGAGAGGTGGACAGAGGACAGATGGAGAGGTGGACAGATGGACAGGTGGAGAGGTGGAGAGGTGGACACAGGACAGGTGGACAGGTGTTCAGGTGTTGTACTCACAGTGCTGTAGGTCTGTCCGTTCCTCTTGATGAGGAAGCTGGAGCAGTTCCTGATGACCATCCACTGCAAATGGGACGACATGATGAACCTGGACAGATCAGGACCGAGCATTAGTGAAACAACGAGGCCAAAAAGGGGAAGAGACTTTAAATATCTGCTGGTTTAAAGTCACTAAATTCACGTTTTCTCAGCAACTCACGTCGGATAAACGTGGTCACCAAGTTTCTCGATTTTTAAGATTATGAGCCCACGTTAAACACTACCTCAATCCTCTGCCAACTACAGCTTCTTTTGCGTTAGCACTCATATAATGAAGACACAGAGCAGCTTTTTATTACACGTTAAAGCTACAGTTTGCTAAAGTTAGCTCCACAGCTCAGCACAAGGGACTGAAGCAGCACGACGAGGCCTGAAGTGGACGACGTGCTCACAAAACGTGTATTTCCATTTTAATACACCAAACAGGGACAATACCTGCCACCCGGGACGTACACAACAACCAACGCTACAATAATAACTTACTTTATGTGACTAAATACAAGTAGGGAGACACAATAAATGCACTTTAGTGAGCGGCTATCGGCAGCAGAAGCGACCACGTTACCTTTTAGCGGAGGAAAAGGACCGGAGAGAGCGGAAACCGCTTTACGGAACCTCTCTCTGAGATCATTCCGCACCAACGGCTTCTTTTTTTTTTTTAAAGCATTTACGACCAAATCCGCATTTTAATACATCTAAAACACATAACATCGATTATTATTATCGATACAATCGTGATTCAAACAATATTATGACGCCATATGATATTTTTAACGCAATTTCGTGGGGGGTCCTAGATAACCTCACGTTCAGCGGAGGAACACGTCCTCACCGCTCTCGGTGGCAACCCGACGTCATTAATGCGCGCCGCGTGTTTACAGACAACCGTCCAAAAAAAAAATAAAATCAGTTTCCAGCTGTTCTCACTCTAAACACGGAGTCTTATTTCAGATTGTGACAGGAGTGCAGGTGGAGGACAAGCACAGAGTGAATAAGACGGTGCCTGTGGAGAAAAACCTGCATTTTTAGACACATTTTGCGAGCTACTTTGTGGATGTTGTCTCAGTGTGGATGTGATTGGAAGCTACTGTGAACCCAAAAAAAGTTGTCAGAGGCTGAAACCATCTTAAAAACCTGCTCATTATAAAGTTACAGTGATGTGACATGGCGTCTGCAAGCGGGGTCTTAATGTGAGGAGTCAAACATGGATGAGGAAGAAGATCTGGAGACACTTGGTGAACAACTGTACTCTCTGATTTACCCCAACCACAAAGACAATGCTGGGAAACTCACAGGTGAGGTGACCCTGCATTGCATGTTGTCTGTTGTTCTGATTACTCTCATGCAAAATGTGTATGAGGCAACATAACATCAAAGTTCCTAAGCCTGTCTGGGTTTCCAGGGATGTTGCTGGAGCTGCCGGGTCCTGTCCTGAGTCAGATGCTGCAGGATGAGGCCACACTGAGCGCAGCCGTGGAGAAAGCCCTCAGAGCCCTGCAGCTGGCGCAGGAGCCCAGGTACAGCAGTGGCTGGTGGGGCAGTATGTGGGTTCTCATAAGTCCTGTTTCCTGAGCCAGATGCATTCCCAGCAGAGGATTGAGGTAGTGTTTAGGTGCATGAGGGGATGTCAGAATCAGACTTTTGTTTATTGCCAAGGTAGGATTTTACGCTACGAGGAATGTGACCTGGTGCATAAAATATCACATATACAAAATACAAATATACAAATATACCAATTATTCAAATCACACAAAAATCCCCACAGAAAATAAAGTACTTTCAAATATAAATAGATAAAGATAAAGAAAAGATAAGAAGAAAAGCTTGTGCAGAAGAACGTGGGTGCATTAATGTAATGCATACTTTATATACAGGTTGGGTAAGAGTCAGTGTCAGTGGGGAATCCGGTGGCCTGCTGCAGACGGGAAGAAACAGTTTTTATGGCGAGGCGTTTTCGTCCTGATGGTCCGCAGCCTCCTGCCAGAGGGAAAATAATGTAATATAAATATATAATATGTAATATAACTTAGAGTATGATGCCATTAAACAGGCAACATCAGCTTTTTGCAACCGAGCGTATGTCAGGTCCTTTCAGATTGTGTATCCTCATGTGACTGCCCCTCTTTGCAGCAAGGTGACATGTAAGGACGAGGATGACGTGTCAATGTCCTCTGACTCTCTGGGTGAGCAGCTGTTTGAGTTGGTGGATGTTTACAACACCGGCCACTCGCAGAAAATCACAGGTGAGCAACCAGTCATTTGACTCAGCAAATACTGAATATTATGCAGCAAAATACCGCTGATACGTGAAGCAGCTCAAAATGTTTTAGAGCAAGTTCAGTTCATCTGTAACAGCTGTGTAATAAGTTCAAGGTGATTTCTGTAACAATGTTATGTTTTCTCATATCATTTGGTAAATGGCAAAACAATAGAAAATTGGTTTCTTTAGTTTGATTTTCGGCACTAATGGTCAACAAAACTAGGCACTTGAGAGCAACACTGGTCTGACAGTAGGTTGGTACACCACTTTGGTTCAGACTGAATTAGCTCAACAACTATGGCCATCAAATTTGGTACACACATATTTATTGGCCTCAGGATTAATTCTAATTCTTAAAGCATTGCCCAACTACAGTCTCACAGAACTGCTAGCATGGCTGTGGACTTTTAGTCTTGTTATCATTTATGTGCTTGTTATATATATTTCAGCTACTGCTACTGTCTACAAATGTTGTTTTTGTATTTATACCTGTATGTATATCTGTACATAGTAGTCCATGTCTGTTTTGTTGAGCTTGTTGTCCTGTTTATTTATGCTTATTCTGCATATGTACATTGAGAGCAATGTAAAACCGGAGTTAAATTCCTTGTATGTGTGCACATACCGGGCCAATAAAAGTGATTCTGTTCTGATTCAAATTAATTTATGAGAAACTAGTGAGTTATGTATTCAAATATATTTGCTGTAATTCAACAGGAATGCTTCTGGAGCAGCACAAAGAGGCCGTTTTAAACCTTCTCTCTGATCCAAAACTGCTGGAAGAGCAAGTGAACTTTGCCCTGAAGACACTTAAAGAGTATGTGACTTATTAGTGTTTGTAGAATATACCCTTATTTGCATAGAAGTGCATATTCATACATTCTCATCCATGTCCTTTTCCTTTTCAAATCTTCATACAGTACATTTCCAGCACAACCGTTACTGTACTTTACAGGCCATTTTCAGTTCACATCTACACAATAAAATATTAAAAACCAACCAATATCCATTGATAAATTACAGTAAAATCACTTGTTTGAAGTAATGTTCCTGCTGCTTCTCTTTAGGCAGAGCATGGAGGAGACGGACATTAGTGACTCGTCGGATGTTGACGACACAGAGAGGCTGGGAGAGAAGCTCTTCTCGCTGGTGGAGGAGCTGGACCCACTTCATGCTAATGATATTACAGGTGACCTGATTCACTGCCTGTTGTGGCATTCTCTGTAGATATCAGCCATCTTCCTAGATGTAATATCTTTGGAAGTTTTATAATGTTATTGTATAGGCCTTGTAAGGTGTAAGCTCATGAGCATGACACTATTTATATGTATCTGTTTGTGTAGGTATGCTCCTGGAGATGGACCCAGCTGCTCTCCAACAGCTGCTCAGTGACCACACGATGCTGGAGGTTGCTGTTCAGAAAGCACAAGCAGCACTGGATACCTAAAACTGAACTCTCTCAACTTGAACAGAAGAGGACGACAGCATTTTACACACAGAATAACAGTTATAAATTAATGACTTTGATTCATTTAGATAATATAATGCTGGGGAAGAGCTGACAACACTTTAGGAGATCATATTTATGATTTGTGTTTTATACAGATTTTTGAGTGACCTGTGGAAAGTTTGACTCGACCTACTGTAAATAATTTAAGAGTCTAGTAAGCTTATTCTTAGCTGAGATTACATTAATGTAATTGTCCCTTTCTAATACGGGTATGCTCACTTTGCTGGTACGTGATTATCTTTCTCAGATAAATTGACTGGACATAAGTGCCATTGTGCCAAACATCCACAACAAGACATTAGAGTCATTGTTTCTTGATGGAATTGTTTACAGCGGGCTGTAAGTCTATGAGAGAAGTGCTTATCTATGTCCTGCTATGTTGATATGCTTGCTTTGGTACTGTACTCATAATGATTAACTGTACAAATTGGTGAAATATCTTTGCTAACAGAAAATACAGCAGATTGTACATAAAATAAAGAAGCTCTACATTTATAAAGCAATATGGCATCAAATTATGTCCAGACATCCATGGACCAGTCCAATACTTTGGCTCATGATCAGTTGATTCAGAGCCAGAGTATGTTTTTTACTGGGTCAAACATCAGAGTATTTATCATTTAGAGAGAAGGATGCTGAGCACTGTGACTTGAATAGAACACTAATACATGAGAGGCACAAGCTGGGGCTAGTAGTTAGCTAACTGTTAGCAATGTAGATAAACCTCTTAAATTGGTCACCCCAGTGACATTTTATTTGTATTTATATTAGGTAGAAATCAAATGCAAACCTAACTGGCCTTCCACTGTGTGTGTTCTGGCCTAGTCTGTGCATGTATTTCCTCACTGGCACTGTGTTAGGTCTGCACATTTAACAGTAGTTTAATTTCTTGTTAGATCTGTCAGCTCAAGGTTGTCTGCATTGTGCGTAATGCGACTCCAAACTTAACAGCTGGACTTTCCTCAAGTACACATGCTTGCTTAATTTAACGAGTCACTGTATTTTAAAACACAAAACCTGTAATGAATGAAACCAATAGACATCTCTTTCAAAGTGCTACAGAGCGCAAAAAATAACTTTATTACCATTTCTTCTCCACCTTTTGTATTTACTGTTTTTATGTCAAGAATTTTACATGAGGAATTCTAAAACATTGGGGAAAACAACTCCTTCTCTGAAACAAAAGGGGACTTTTTGTTCATTTTAATCTGGTGCCTACAAAATCATTGAGTCAAAAACATCTGGGTTGACAAATGATTGAATTAAAAATCATATTTGTAAACTAATATGACAGGGAAGTATTAGAGTAGAGTACAATTAGCTCTCATTTCACGATTTAGATAAAGTTTTATTTGTCTGCAGAAGCGGTCAAAACAAATGATAAGAATAGGAATCCACATCATCTCTGGTGAATCATAAATGCATTTCTTAAAAGCTAATCAGGAAAAATTAGTTAATCTCCACACACACACAAGCACACCTTTATGCCTAAAGCTCATAAATACAATCAATCTGATATACAAATATTTGGATAGATTCATTTTTAGCAACATTTAAAATGCAGTTTTAATCCCAATTCTTGCTGTTCTGAAGACCGCCCCTTGTTTCAGTGAAATTGTGAAATTTCTCAGGAGAAACTGAAGCCTAACTTGGACGAAAGACCCCGACACATCTTTAAAGTCAAGAGTTGCAGATGGGCAGGGGAGGACATTTAAATAAATATCTGAAACGGCGGCATCCTAACAATGCACTCTCTCCACCTCTCAGGATGTGAGGCTAGTATGAGTCTCTTTCCTGTCATCCAACATTCCTTCCTTTGCTGGAGGGCGACTGAGGAGAAGCAAACAACACAGCAGACAATGCACTATTGACACCATTCATTCTCACACAAATTGCTACCTCCAGTTGACAGAACACCACTGAAGAGCTGCAAATGCACATACGTCCACAATAGGAAATGAAAAAGGTGCCATTTTCTTTCTACCCACCACACATACAATCAGTCAATCAATCAATCAAACATGGACATTTGGACTATAGACACGAAAGTAAACCTAAAACAGGACCTGGGATGATCATTCTGTTAACAGTGTTATATGTGAGGAGAAGCTGGACAGCTTAGAGGAGCAACATTATTTATTGTACACTAAACTATGCCTGCATGAACATACATGAATGCATCTGTAGATAAACTTTTTACGTGTGTTAAAACCCATTTTCTGTTTGGATGCAGGATAAAGCCCTTCAAGAAAACACTGTGCCTGTTAAAACTACACCAGTGAAATCTAATGAACCAAAGAAAAAGATGAAAAAGTGGTTAAGCTGTTGGACAAAGACTGACAACATGGAGACTGTGATTATGCTCTTAGGTGCAGGCAAAAAAAACAAGGGTCCTTTAGACAGAGAGCAGTATGTCCATGTGCTTCATTTACTTCCAGGTAGTATATCACTCTTTCCAACAAGTCTGTTCACACAATCTCTCTGCAAGATGAGGTTTACTTCAACACTGGGTACTGGCGCTGACCGCCCAAGCGACCAGGGCGGTGTCCGCCTCCTGATGGTGCACTTGTCTGGGGAAAAAAAGGGATAAAAACAACAGCAAGGAAGGACATTATGAAGTGAAAAGGGAGACAAATTAAAAGTTTACAACCGTTTACAACAGCAAAACTCTTCAAACTTTTCAAACCTCACCTGTGCAAACTGTGCAGGGTTATAAAAGGTGACGCCTCCAGCAGGTGCGGCTACCTGGGCAGGATGAGTCTGCAAAGGACAGACAGAGTTACTACAGTGTGTGAAGTGTTACTGTCCCATTACTTCTATGGGCAGAGACGGAGCGTTAATGCACGTCCAATGTGTTTCATTATAAAACAGAAGCAAAACAAAAGTGGAAAGGTAATGGCGAGGAGCACTCGGATCCACAGTGAGGCAGCATTACAAACCACTGTTTCACTCGTTTTAGTAACAATGCAAGCTTTATGACGGGTTATTGAAGCTGTGTGTTCCCATGACAACAAGCAAGGGAGTCGTCCCTGCAACTGTCTCCAGCGTGCCTCACTCTGAATCCATGGCTCAAAGTTACCCAGCAACTTTCAAGTGAAGTCAATAGTTCACTACTGTAGGATAAACAAGAGTCTACAGCCACGCTAGCAGCTCTGTGAGCCCACCTAGGCACAGTGGCGCTTTGAGATGCTGACATTCTCATAATAACAATGTAGGACCGTTTACGATGTTCATGACCTTAGTTTAGCATGTTAGCATGTTAACATTTGCCAATTAGCACTAAACACAAAGTACAGCTGAGGTTGTATTTGGTCATAAACTAAAATATCAAACAAATTTAGATTTTGTCCGGATGATGGTGCTAAAGTCAAACTGCTAGCGTGGCTAAAAATAAGGAACTACATTCTTTGACTAGTTTTGTTGACCATTAGCCAGGTTTGGTTGCAGATACAAAGTGAGTTAGTAATGCTGGAAACAGCAGGCAGGTGAGCAGGCAGACATCTTTGGGTTTGGATGGGTGGTGAAGCTTCGGGTGCAAATGGTGAAGCGTGCTACTAGTGATGTGGTGAGCTAGAAGGGTGGCAGGCAGGGGTGAGAGTGGACCGTTTGAGGCCCAGCTAGAGGTACCTGGTTTAAATGCTGACTCACTTCGCGTGATAAAGAACTCATTGAGCTAGAACGTGAGAGCTAAAGACAGCAGGAGGGAAATAAACAGTAGACAACAAAAACACAAACCACAAACCCATATTAATAAACTCCCATGCAATGGATTAGATCTGTTTCCACTATCCACCAGTTCAGAATGGAAATAAATAAATCAGTGTTAGAAAATTATGATTCTTGACAAAACAGACATGGAGAGAATTTGATTATAACCGCAAATGGAACAGAGATTTTACATTTTATTCAGGCTGCGCATTTAGCATGATTATGGGCAAAGATTTTAAGTTAACATGCATGCATTCCCGTGTTCTTTCATACACCCTCTTACGATAACTTTCATTCATACAAATAAGCAAACTGCACGCACTGGCTGTTAGGGTGTCGGGCATCATGATTCAGTGGTGGCGTGATGGTACTATGATGGCTACAGTAGCAGCTGACAGTTTGTCTTACCTCTCCAGACTGTGAGCCATCAGGCACAGGAGGACCCTCTGGGGCAGGTGGTAACAATGTTGGGCTGAACATCTAAATAGATTAATGAAAGTGGAACAGAAAGGAATCTGGATAAGTAGAGCTTCAGCTTTGTACTTTCCCCGTTTCCAGTCTTTATGCTAAGCTAAGTTAGCTGGCTCCAGCTACATATTTACAATACAGAGATGAGATCATCTCACACAAACTATCAGGCAACAGGTTAGTTAGGCTTTACTTGACCACACTTTACTAAATTAGGAAACAGGATACTGTAGTGACCTTAGGTTTCACATTTCAACAACAGTATTTACATAATTTGAGAAGGACAATGAAAATTAGGTCAAAATGCTTTAGTTAGTATTTAAATCCACAATTTATTTTCAATATTAGACCAACAATGTGAGAAGGTTTTCTTAAACATAAACTCACTAGGTTCACCAATAAAGAGAAATAGATACCTGTGGACCAGCGCTGGTGTTTGGTGAATTCTGCTCCAGATTTCCTCCTTCACTGCCCTCTAGAGGTTGTTGATCGTCAGGAGCTACACCAGAAATAGAAAAACAAACTTAATCCTTCAAGCCTTAACTGTACAGTGGCTCCAAAACCATGTGCAACCCTCAAGGGTACCTTGCTTGTGATTATACTGTTACACATATAAACTATGCCATCTCATTTTACAATAATAATTTAAATGAACAGACACGTACCTGAACTAGGCACAAATAGGTTTGTGGGCATGGGCATTGGTGCCAAAGGAGCAAAGATGTCTGCAGGAGCAGGGGCTAATCCACCTGGTTTAGCAGTTCTGCTGGGGTTCAGAACATCCACATATCTGCTCCTCGTGCCTGAGAGGAAACAAAACACATCTGACTGGCAAGAAA